CTCGACTGCAAAACACTGAAGATTATTTTGATGGTTTGACTCGAAGGTGACTTTTTCTGGTTTAAGCCTTGACAACTGCAGCTTGTACAACCCATCCTTCAGAGCTCCTTGCAACAGAATCCTCTTCGTTTGGAGATCCTTCACAACACAACAATTTGAGTAAAATTCCATGAATACATCATTGTCATTAGTGAGCTGAGAAACACTAATCAAATTTCTCTTGATTGAAGGAACATGTAGCAATTTATTTAACTCAAGTGATTTGTTATCAGATGCAGAGATTTTTCCATTTCCAATATGAGCAATAGTTAGTTTATCTCCATTTCCAACAAGTAGTTTTTCTTTACCTTCATAGGTTACCATAGTTTCCATGTTACCTTTGTCTGTTGTAACGTGATTACTAGCTCCAGAATCAACATACCACGCTGGATCATCCAGGATTCGAGGTGATGCTACATAGGCTGATGGTGCAGCATTGGAATTCTGCTATCCTATGCTGGCTGGTCTGCTTCCCATGTACCTATCATCGAATCTGTTATGGCAGTAACTTGCAGAGTGATTGCTCAATCCACAGATTTGACAGGGGCCTCTAGCTTCATTCTGCCTACCAATTGAAGTTCTTCCTCTATCCCTTGTTCTTTCCCTAAAACCTGCTGATTTGATATTGCTAGTTCCTCTAAATCCTCAGCCAGAACTTGAGCCAGTTCGATGTGCTAACTGAACACTCGAATGATTTATATTAAATGAAGTGAAATTTTTTTTGACTTGGTTTAAGTGTTCCAGTCGACTCTCAAATGTCATAAGTACTGAGGATAGTTCATGCCAGGAGATAATGTCTCTGCTACTTATCTGCACGACTATAGGAGTGTACTCCTCATCCAATCCTGACAGGACTTGAGTGATTAAATCACTTTGATCAATGATCTTACCAGCGATTTCCAGATTATCAGCCAGTTGCTTGATGGTGGTTAAGTACTGGTCCATTGTCATCAATCCTTTCCTTGTTCTTTGCAATTCACCAGTAAGAAACATTACTCGTGATTTATTCAATATTCCAAAACTTTCTTCAACTGCTACCCACAGCTTGTTTGAACTCGTGCACCCCATGACTTTCATGGCAATTTCTGGAGTCATGGATGAATATAGCCACCCCATAGGGAGTTGGTCTGCAGAGTTCCACTTCTGAAATTCTAGATTTCGAGTCATCTCTACTGATTCATCTTGATCGACAGTTGTCTGAGTCGCTAGGAATTCTGGTGGACACACCTTTGTCCCCAATATGTATCCTTCAAGGTTATGCCCTTTGATTATGGGCATAATCATGTTTTTCCACAATAGGAAGTTGTTCATATCCAGCTTCACTGATGGTGTTTGAGTTATGTTAATTCCTAATGCTGTATTCTGGCCAGTTGCTACCTGAATGCTTGGAGCTGTGTTAAGCTCGGATGTATTTGACTAATTTCCGGAATCGGTGTTGGCCATGGTTGGCTCTGATACCAAGTTAGAAAGTAGGATAAAATGAAGATAAAATTGATGCCTTAATCATTCAGGTTACATTGCTATATACACCACGAAAGAAGGATCTAGAATTATTCTATTTAACAGACATAAAACTAACACTACAGCTGGCCAGTAGAATTGATTCCATTCTCCTGAAAATAAGGAACAGCAACGTGATGGTGCCTGCTGCTTCAAACCGTAGCTGAGGGTGGTGAGCTGAGGGTGGTGAATTCTAACTGTCTCGAACTATGACCAGTAGAAATTTTCATGATTTAAAATTAAATGGACCTATGGATGGATCATGTTTCACTGTTTTGGCTGCCTCGAAGAAAAATGAACTGAATTCTCATGACACAGCAATTTATGTTTGGCAATTCATTTATTTCACATGTAACCTCCTCTAATATCTGCAGTATTCTTTGAGAGATAATCCTTTCATGCCTGGCTCTGCAACAACTTGAGTCTCCGTATTTTGATAACTAAACCTATTTTCCTGGAATGTTGAAAAATTACTCAGAACAGAGAAAAAAATGGAAGGATAAATAGAATGCAAGAATCTACAGATTCTTCCCTTAATTATTTATCCATCTGTCAAAAATTCTCACTCTAAAGTCTATAATCTGCCGGCTTCTCTTCTTTTGGAAGGATTGGATCAAACCTATTGAAGGACCTTGGAACTTGACATTGAGTGAAGGTCATATGCAAGAAGTTTTACAAATGGGTGGATAAGGAGTCTTGGAATTTCTTTTAGTATGTGAGGTAAACCTGAGAGCTGAATCAAAGCCAGACAGTTTAATATCGGGAGCTTGACAGCTGCCTAAAATAGGTTCACGTGGCGGCTAGCATGCTTCAAATCTGGGGAACAGCCTAATGGTAACCTCCAGCCAAAAGATGCTGAAAGTGAGAAGCTATGCTCTAGCCTAAATCAAATCTGCTTGACAAGTTGACAACAGAAGTCCGCAGGGCATGTTCAACAGATCTTTTACTTTTTATGCTTGAACTTTTTGGTTTTGGACTATAGATTGAAGGCTGGGGATAAATTTCTGATTTGTGGTATCTGGTAGACAGTGTGTTGATCTGCTTAGTAAGGAGAGATTGGCCTGGTTATCAATCCTGGTAACTTTATACTGGAGACATTCAAATAATGGGACTTAGAAGCATGCCTGTTTGCATAGATATTGTAAAGAGTGAAATGATGTTGCTTGTTTTACTACTTGAACTCTGTGAACCACAACTATTTAGACTCAAGTTTCCACATCTGACAATGCGTCTAAAGTTAATGCTAAAGGCCTTAGCTGTTTACTTCATTGTGGCACTGGAAACTTATTACCAACATAGTACACATCAACAGTCAGCTTACTCTATATTTTAATGCACACATCTCACTCATATTCCAGTTATTGACTACTGTTAGTGAGAGCAATTTTATTCTTGTCATGTTGGTTAAAAAATACCTCCAACCACATCCTTCCAGAACCATGCTAGACTACTGAGAAATATTTTGCATTTTAAGGGCATTGAGAAAAGAAAATTTAACTTGGAAAACATTCAAACTCTATATTAGTAAATATTATCCTGCGAAGAATTACCTACTGGAGCAGATGTGAAAACTTTTTCAATATGCAAAATTTTGTAGGTAATGAAAAATAGGACTTGTGCATTTTGTGCTTCATTATTTGTTATCTCTTGCATGTAGCAATTTATATAGTTGGACTAGAAGTATTCTAATAATCATCGCCCGTAAATTGTTGAAATGACACATGAAGCACTAGAAACGAACCAGCATTTGCAGCCGGTCCCGTTGCCTCGTAGAAAGGAGGAAGAAAAGCTTAGAGATTTTAGATCAGGAAGGACAGAGAAAATCAAGGTATCCTTACCAGATTTAGGTTTGCAGTCCCATGAAATATCATGCTGGGCGGAGCCCAATGAGGACCAGGGTGGGCACAGGCCCACCCTGAACTTCTGGGCTCAACCCCATGCCATAATAATTTTTTTTTTTTAGTATTTGGCTAACTTTCAGCCCAAGAGGAGTGAAGCCCAATCCCAAAAAATTTAAAAGGGAGTGAACTGTGAAGCCCTCGCGTCCAGCGTCTCCTTCGCCTCTGGCCCTCTGCATGCGTCGCGCCTCCTCCAACTCCAGGTTTCAACCTTCAGCACCGTACCACGCCAGCACCTACAGTAAGTCTGTAGCTTTTTTTCTTTCTCTTTGATGTATATTTTGTGTATGAAGTCTGAAGAAGTCAAGAAACCGATTGTTATTTGTTGGTAAATAAAGTAATGGTCTCGAAGAAAGGTGGGTTCTTCTCGAAATAAGGCTTTGTGATGCAGGCTGTTGCCCTCTGTGACTCTGTCTCACTGTCTGAGTCTCGAAACTATAGAGAACATGGGGGGTTTTGTGTGGTGGAGTGAGCATTTGATAGGTTGAGTTCTATAGAAAACATGGGGGTTTATGTCTCACTGGCTGCTTATAGAATTGAATAATTGAGAACCCATTTGAGAACTGGACTGGAATATTTTACCTATTTGAAAATTAATTGGTGGTTTGAAGTTCATCACTCGAGCTTTACAATCTAGATTTCCAGTATGTTGGAGCAAATTGTCTATTTTAGAGTGTAAATGAAGGTAAGAAAATTGTGTGTAATAATGGTAACTAAGAGTGAGACAAGAAAATCCATCCTGGACGAAGTACGAGGCCTTCATTGAAATAAGCCTGAATGCACTTGGTTTTTCGTTAAATTCTGGAACTTAAAAGAAATAGACTGACATGCAAGAAATTTCACCAATTGCAGCTGTCATGATATAATTTAATCATCCCCACATTGAAAATTGGTTGGGAAATTTAATCATCCTAAAGGAGTTCTTGTTGGCAGGACAGGAAGTGGTTGGGAATATTTTTCTTCAATCAAATGCGGAACTAGAATGAGATGGTTGAATCAACTCTATGTACAATCAAATAGAATGGGGGGGTTTTATCATCAATTTCACCAACATATATGAGTGATCTAAAAGTAAATAATAATAGCAAAACATAGACGGATTTCCCTTTGGTTGATATGTATGTGAAGGTGGAGTTGTTGGGGCATGCTTTGAAAGTTTTCTATGGAAGTACTGAGAGAAATAAGGTTGAGAGTGTTCTTTTATGGAATGTGATAATTAAAGGATGTTGCAAAAATAGGGAGTTGAAGAAGGCATTAGAGTTGTTCGAGGTGATGCCACAGAGAAATATTGGGTCTTGGAATAGCATGATTAATGGGTTGATGAGAAATGGAGAGGTCCAACAGGCCTTTGAATTTTTTGACCAAATGAAGGAGAGGAATGTCGTTTCTTGGACAACAATTGTTCATAGATTATCACAGAATGGGATGCATGAAAAGGCATTAGAGATGTTTATGAAGATAAATTGTGCCCACCCTGAGTTACTATCCTGGCTCCGCCCCTCATGCATCACGGTGCTCTGAAATTGCAGAAGTCTATATATCAATTTGAGAGAGAGAGAGAGAGAGAGAGAGAGAGAGAGAGAGAGCGAGCGAGCGAGCGAGCGAGCGCAATATGACCAATAACACTATGATCATTTAGCAGGAAAAGAGTGGGAAATGATATTTGGATCCAACATGAAATGAGGACGGTTTTGGACACTTCTATTGTTACTTTCAGGGGCGGGACCCAGTTAAGGCCCAGTACTTTGGGCCGCCCCAATTTTTTTCAACAGGCTAATACAAAAAAAATCAAGTTGGGCCAATTTTTTGGCCCAAAATAGGAAAGAGCCTGAATGACTGAATCCCTGATACATTCAAATACACCAACACGCCACGCCTCAGTTCCTGCCCCCTTCATCCACGCCTCAGCCCCTTCATCAACGCCGACGCCGGCCACTGCTGTCTGCATCCACGACCACGAGGCACAGACGCCCAACCCAGCCCAGCATCCAGCGTTCGTAATCCTCTGTAGTAGGTGACTTTTCTAATTTCTATAATGTCAATTCGTATAATCGTATTCATCAATCATCTGGCATCTGCGATTCTGTTGTAGTCTATTGAGTATTGGCTGTCTATTGAGTAAGGGCCGTAGAGGATGGGTGAGTTGGAGGAAAGTGGAAATAGGAAAATGGAAAATTGCAATTGCCTGGGTCCGACCAAAATTTGAGAGGAAACTCCACAAAATTGTATCTCTTCTTTATGCGAGAAAAATATTGGAAAAAGATGATGACGAATTTTCACAAGGTTTATTAAATTGGTCTTTTGACCTATAACGAAGAAACCCTTTTAAGCAGGAAATAAGTAGAAAAATTAAAAGGTGTCAATTTGTCATTGGTCCTTTAGGAGTAGATTATCTAGCAATTATGTCATCTGTAAAAGAAACTAATGAAAATGGAAAGCAAAAATGGACAGAGTTTACCAAATAGATAGTCCTTATAAAACTTCATACAAGGAAATAACATTATGGCTTTCACATTTCTATACTTTTTCTGTTGTATTTAGTATTACAACAGTATCATAAAAATTCTGATCAGTTGACAATAAAACAGTTGATACATTTCCTCTTTTCTTTGACAAAAAAAATTGAAAAATGAATGAACAAAATCAGTTTCTTACAGATTCTTCCACTCTGTCGTTACTATACATCTCTGTTTAAAATTTTCTGCTATTTTTTTTTTACTTTTACTAATACTGTCCACACTGAAACAATTCCGTGGGTCCGCCCTGGTTACTTTCTTTGGTCTCCCTAAAAGGATGCTCTTGAAGAATGTATCGTATAAGCATTTGCATGCCATTAAAACAATGTAGCATATTCTTAACCCCAGTCCCAGATGTATCCAGTTTAAATTTTTGCGTAGGAAATTGGTTTATTATATATGAATAATAGTCTGGAAGTATCTATAAAAAAAACAATAGTAGTCTGGAAGTGTATAACAGTTAAGTTCATTACAAATTTTGTGTTATTCAGCTTTATCTGACCAAGTTTCAGCTGATTTTTTAGGCTGCTTGCTTAGATAAATACAAGTCAACATGAACTGAAATTTTTGTCTATTAGTTCAGATCACTTATGATGTGATGATCAAAGTTCTCCTATGACATAATTATATGCCAATGATGTTATTTGACTCATAAAATTTATATCTGTTCAATGTAGAGCAGAGATGGTTATTCTAGGTGGTCACTTCGGGCTTTCTAACACGAAATTTCTCAAACCTTATGTCCTGAAAATGCACTTCACAAATAAGTACGTGAGTGCTCAAGTAATCCACACGCCAACTGCAACGGTGGCCTCTGCTGCAAGCACTCAAGAGAAGGCCCTGAGGTTGAGCATGGAGAAGGCAAAAGAAAATACCCGTGATGTTGCAGCTGCTGCAAAAATTGGCAAGATACTTGGGGAGCGACTAATGCTTCAGAGCATACCTGCGGTTTCAGTTGCATTGAAGAGAGAACAAAAGTATCATGGTAAGGTGAAGGCAGTGATTGATTCTTTAAGGGAGGCAGGGGTCAATTTTTTATGAAAACGTCGAGTTTGCATTTCTAGCTGCCTCCAGAATGTCGATGTCTTAGCTTGGCAGTTTGTCTTTTTGGTATTTTAAAGGAACAACTTCAATTGTAATGATTATCTAGAGAAATAAGCTGTACTCGATAAATGGAATCACAAGGATTCTTCTCCAGTTTGGAAGTGTTATTTGGAAACAGTACAGATGTCTGAGCCTTAGTTTCTCATCAACTTTATCAAACAGTTGTATTTTCTGATGAATGCTTGGTACATTGAATTGGATTGCTATCATTGAGTAGCAGGACAACCAAAAATTTGAAGTTTTCAAATTCTGAACTCTGTGAGTTGTAATACAGTATAAACTTGAAACTTGAATTTATTAGAGTTTGCGACTCTTCAAAAAGTTCCAATACAAAATTATATATAGAGATATAATTGTTGAAGTTTATGTCATCTTGTCCTCTTCTCATATTTGATTGCGAAAGTGTTCTTTTATTTTTTTAGTGTGATTAATTGTTTTACTTTGTGAAAAAAAGACTTGTATAACATGTTTGAAAACAAAAATATACTTGATAAGTTTGATTACTTAAGCTTGGCCAAACATAAGAGTTAAATGTTTTAGAGCTTGTTTGGTAGATATTAAAATTAGATTAAAATTGAAAAACTAGTCGTTATTGTTTACTTCTATTATACGAGTGGCATCTAATAACGGCTAAATTTTTAATTTTAATTGGACTCAAATGCCTCCCAAACAAACTCTTAATAATCACCCAACTTATATCATGATCACGATTGACTCACTAAACTTCAAAGTGTTTCAAAATGTTCACGAAATATTTTTCACTTGCACATCATTCATCAACCTAAAACATTCATTATATTATTTGCTCACGTTGCTAATGAAAATTTTCACATGATAAATTACGATATTTAAAAAAATTACAACTCAACCAAACCAATGTTTCGTTACTCATTCAACTTATACTTGGTCACAGTTTACTCATTATACTTAAAAATGATTCCCAATATATTTGAGATATTGCACTTCATCCATCATTTGTCAAATTTCTTTCCCTTCGTTGCGAATGTATCGCATGGAATCTCACGAGAAAGTTACGATCGTTAAAAAAATTATAACTCAATCAAACCATCAACTTGCCAAAATCATCATATGTGAAACGAAACTTCCATGGCCCCAAAACCTTTTTAAGCCCCAACAAAGCGTCTGCCAATTCAGTTATCTCATCCAGATACAGTTAACTTGTTAATAAGACAAAGTTGATTGTTGAGAAAGATACGAGAGCTAATACTTATAAAACCCTATCCCCCAAATTGTACCATTTGCTCGACGTCTTTCTAATCCTAATCTTCTATTTTTACAGGCGTGTGTCCAACTATTCGAGGAAAGAAATGTCATTGAACTCCAATGGCTAGTATATAGCTAGAATACCTTCTGATTTGTGTATGTATTTATTGTATCAATTTGGCCGAAGGCTAGTGTACAGCTAGAATACCTTCTGATTTGCGTATGTGTTTATTGTTCTTTGTTCATCAATTTGGCCAAAGTTGGATGACATATCATTCCTCAAATAATTGGACACACGCCTATAAAAAGGGAAGATCAGGATCTGAGAGGCGCCAAACAAATGGTACACTTTGAAGGATATGACTTTATACGTAGTAGCTTTTCACATCCTTCTTAACAATCAGCCCTGTCTCAATACACAATTTATCTGTACGTGGGGGAGATGATTAAATTGGGGGCTGGGATTTTTTAGGCTAAAAATGGGGATGCATTATTGGGATTTAAAGAAGTTTATGGGGCCGAGGAAGTCGCATTGCACATATGGTGATTTTAGTGAGTTGATTGTTTGGCTGAATTGTAAATTTTTAATGATCTAACTTGCCACGTGAGATTTTCGTACAATACGTAAGAAACGAAGGGAATGAAATTTAACGAATGATGGATGGAATCCAACGTCTCATAGATAAGCGACCATTTAAAAGCATTTTGAAATTTGATGAGTAAACCATGACCAAGTATTTGGTTTTTGCTGAATTGTAATTTATTTTTTTTTTAACGTTTGTAACTTATCACGTGAAATTTTCGATGGCCATGTTAGCGAATAAGGTAATGGAGTTTTGAGGATGATTGTTGAAGTACAAATGGGTAAAGTTCAGTGAACATTATGAAATACTTTGAAATTTAGTAAGTAAATTCGTGATCACGATATAAGTTGGATGATCATCGAAAAATTAATTCAAACATAAAATATGTACCTTTTTCCCCAAAAAAATCTTAAAAGGACTGGCCTCTTTTCAGAGAGCCACAAGAAGTTCGATCCCACTGAAAATCATATCAGTCCAAGTGTACAATTTGTTAAATTTTTTCTATGAAATAAAAAAGATTAGTGGTTTTACGAGATTTATAGATAAAATTTAGGTTCAATCAACTAATAATTTTTAAAAAAAATCAGTCAAAAATAAATCACGCCTGTAACCATCCTAGATAATGTAATTTTGATACGTCCATAATGAGTGATAGTCAAATATGAAAGTAAATATAAAAAATATTAGAATGAAGAATTCAACAAGGGGAAAAGAGTCTGGAACGAAATATTTAATTTAAATGGATTATGAAACCCTAAATTAAAACACATTTGGCTAATCTTAAAAAATTATCTATAAACTTACCAAACAAGTAAGGTTCTTTTTATTTTCATATACTACTGTTCTCCCATGCGCTCCAAGTAATACTATTTGAACTGTTTTTGAAAAAAAAAAAAATCCAATTTCAACATCCCATTTTAGAAAAAGGGCCAAAAATTGGAAACACATGATCCATGGACAAATTTTGGGTGGCTATATTACCCCTACAGCACCACATATTTTCTAATTACTAAAATAGCCATAACTAGATATTCAGATTGAAATTAGCCCTAAACTGCACTCTTCGATCTTTAACTTCATTTTTGTTCTTGATTATACGGCTAGCAATATCAAATATGATTATTGATTCTTGCACTTTTACTTTTTAGGATTTGGAGTATTACTTTTTAAGGATTTAGGACGGATTTATCGTCTGCATCAACCTCAAAATTCAAAAAATTTCTATCACATTGCATAAGAGGGAAATGAGTGATGAAAACTTTCTCTCATTCACACACTACGCAAGAAATGCAGTAACCGATACGAGCTCAAATGTTTCTACAACTCAATTTTTGGGCGAGGTACAATTAAGAGATGAATGCAAAATGTATCAATTTGTCAAATCCCAAAGATGTGGTCATTTTGCAGAAGTATATTTTGTTGGTTGAATAAGTTGTTTGTGTCCCATCTCAACGGGTCACCTCGAATAATAAGTGGGTTCACTTTAAAGTAATCAAAACAACTTATTTGTGAGGAAAAGTCAAAAGAATCAATGCTTGAAGTCGGGCAATGATAATAGTGCAATTATCACGTTATTCATCCACTAATAATTGCATTTTCATGATTTATTAGCACCTAAATGTTCTAAGTACACTCATATTTTGGTTTAG